AACTAAGCCCCAGTCCTGGTTCTATGCTCAGGGACGATCTCTTAGTCAATTAAAAAAGTAAAACATGTACATTTTGATTTTGTTGCCAAAACTTAAAGTGAAAAAAAATAAAATCTTTCCACTATTTTCATGTCATGATTTAATAATGAAGAATAATTTGTGGTTGCGTTCTATTTAGAAAGTGTAAGGGCAAAGATAGTTATGGCCATTTTCACATCATTTTACATATTCATAAATCTTTTCTGTTATATAATATCGTTAATGTTTATAGTTTGTTCATTATATTGTTAAAATATTAAAGTTAAAATGGTTCATATCAAAATCAGTGTAATAGTTACATACTGTTTTATGTATGTCATGATCACGTGCTATACCATAACTATCTTATACAGAATTAGTCATGATTTTGTGAAAGTTAGGGATTGTATTTAGAGCAATCTCTGTCAATAATGTTTAGATTATATTAATTTAAATAGCATGACACCTATTGTTGGTAAGTAAATGTGTATCCAGAATCTCTAACCAAATCGACAGTATGTGCTGCACAAACTGCTTTTGTTTTTCTTTGCCAAAGCAATCTTTTTTTGGACCAGAGCATTGTGATTTAACATAATATAGATATTACTGGATCAACACCTTATAGTATGATGAAAACAAGCTTTAAATAGGCTTTCACAGCAAAAACTACACTAACGTGTTTTAATATTGTGAATACTGAATGTCTTGAAAAATGTACGAGCAACAATAAAACATTTGGTAAACAATGTTCTGTGTCTGTTCTTTTAAAACAGTACAGTTAGACTTATTTGCCGTAAGACAAGGGGATTTATCATTGGCTCACAGGCAATGGCATTTATCTTTGTTTGTGAAGGACACAGACAAAGAGAGGGGCATGAGAACATGTCAGAAGGTCCTGCTAAACTTGGTGAACTGTGTTCCAGTAGATTGCCCTGGACATTTCCATGGCTCTTTCATTGTAACTTTGACCAATTGGATGATCATGCACATTCCCTGGCATTGACTGCCCCTGAGCAGGTGCTCCCTTCTATTTTGTTTTGTTTTTCCTTGCTGTGCCGTATTTCCGAGTTTGGAGTAAATACAACAGGTGAGCAGGGACATCTCATAAACAATCATAATAAAAATCAATTCAGTCTGAATACAGTCACATGCATATAGTAATTAACATCTCAGCATCTCCTGTCTTAAAATTTGCTCCACTAGAAGAAAAAACCTTAGTAGGTTTCAAGGCCCTGTTGCATCATTTTATTCTGGTTCTTATGCCCTCTGCTGGTAACATGAGAAACATATTCACACAACACTTAAATCACTATACTGTATAAACCTTCGGTCCTTTCCTATCTTGTACTCAAGGAAGTTTAGCTTAAGCTCTGAGTAAGAATAACTGTAAAACCTATTATGAAAATAAAATGGTGTGTAGTTGTTTAATGTTGAGTTGAAAAGTTACATGCGTATCTGCAAGGTACAAGCTAATCACCATTGTGCCCTTGATCAAGGCTCTTAATTCTACGTTGCTCCAAGGGGATTGTTGCTGTAATGAGTGGACTGTATGTCATTTTGGATAAATGAGTGCTTACTAAAAACAGGTTCTGCTAATCTTTAAGCAGAACCTTGAATATTTAAACGACACATATCAGTCATGATCTTGTTAATTATTTATCAGGGTTTTCCAAACTTGGGCCCTGCAAGGTTTCAGAAAGCAACAGAAGGTCACGTGAAGGTCAGCACCTCTCCTCATCCAAACAGCATGGCGTGACTGTAAGGAGTCTACTGGCAATCTATTCTGGGCGAGTTGTTTTGCACAGTGGCAAGGGACGGGCTGTAGCTGAAAGTGCTGATGGGACTCCCATGATCCCATGGGGCCAGCTTGTTCCGAAAACCCTCGGCTACCCCACCAGAACAATCCAGGATTGGGAGGGGTATTGTCAAAGTGCTTTGTCCCAATGGCAGGGGCGTTGAGTGCATGAAGGATGGGCCCTGCACCAGGCATAGTATAAATTGGTATCTCCAATGCGCAACACACAGTTTACTGTAGATCATGGCAGTAAGAAGCCCATTTTTTCCACTGTTGCTAATGCTGCTGGGTCTGGCACTGGACAGAGCCTCCACCCATGCATTCAACCCCAGTCGCCTTCAACAGCACAAAGTCCTCCACCTCGGTGAGAAACTATATGAAAGCTGACCACCTGACATCTTTCAAGTGGATTACAAGTGTTGAAAAACTGAATTTACGCTTATTTCCATGTCTTTCTCAAAGATCCAAATATGGATTTCCTTTCCTTCTTTCCTCTCCTGGTACAACACCTTTAATTTGCTAATCCTTTCATAAATCCTGTGTACCTTGCATTTGCTTGTCTACATGGTCCTTTAACTGACATTGACGTAAATGTTGTTCTGTCCTTAGACTGGCCAAAAGACTGTGGCCTGCCTCATTTCAAACCAAACACAGTGGAGCGTATTGTGTCGGGCAACGAAGCGAGACCTCACTCCTGGCCGTGGCAAGTCTCACTGCAGGTAAATTCCACTTGATATGACACGGAACAACTCAAGGTGCAACTTAAGTCACTTAAGCTGGTATCTATTTTTATAGGTTCGTCCTCGAGGCAGCAAACATTATGTTCATGTGTGTGGAGGGACTCTGATCCATAAGAGCTGGGTTCTTACTGCTGCTCACTGCTTCCAGAAGTAAGGCAAATCATAAGTTTATCACCAGTAGAGGCAGAACTTGCTTAAATTTATGCAGGGCAATGCTCCTGGTTCTTTTCTCCTTTAGGTGCTCAAATTCATAAACATCTGTGTGTTAAGTTCCTCTCTTTGTGCTCTTCATTGCCCAGGGGAAAAGCAGAGGATGCTAGTAGCTGGCGTATCGTTTTGGGTAAGCATCAACTGAAAAGAGCTGAGTCCGCAGAGAGTATTTTTCCAGTGAAGAGGATCTACAGGCATGAGCACTTTCGTTATCCAGCCCACAGTGAGCTGGACTATGACATCGCATTGGTTAAAGCTGCCACGGACATCCAAACCAGTAACTTCATCCGCTATGCCTGCCTGCCGCGCAAGCAGATCAACCTTAAACCAGGGCACTACTGTTGGGTGACTGGCTGGGGTGACACACGAGGTAAAATCTGCATTATATGCCTTTGACCTTCATGTATTAAAATTTGAATCTTTTGTGAACGCTGGGTCTTGAAATATGATGGCTGGATTATTTATGAAAACATCGGCTCATAGATAAAATGTAAAGAGTGTACAGTAACGCCGTACCCCACTGCAGTTTCTACTGGTTTATTTTACCTCCATGAGGCAAAAACAAATAGTATTTTTATGTTTTATTGATATCAAGTTTACTAAGGGAGGTGATCCACTTCTCCCACTTAGAATATGGGTTTGGCATCTCTTCTTCCTCTGTAAATCTTAGGTGGAAAAGAAAATGTGTCACTTGCTGAGGCTCTGAACCAAGCTCGGCTCCCAATCATTGACTATATGACCTGTCGGCAGAAGAAGTTCTGGGGTGACCGCGTGAGAGACTCCATGATTTGTGCTGGCTTCCGAGATACAGAGGGGACCCCAGCCGCATGCCAAGTGAGAAGACCGTTTTATGGGAAAATTCATCAAGGTGCCCCTTCTTCAACTCTATTCATCTACCTTCTGTGTGACTCTTCTTCTTGTAGGGTGACTCTGGTGGCCCTCTGCTGTGCCAGGTGGGACGTGACCGCTGGGAGGTCCGCGGCATCGTAAGCTTCGGTCCTATCGGATGCACAGTGGAGAACAAGCCCAGCGTCTTCACTCGCACCGCAGCCTACATCCCATGGATAGAGGCCACACGCATCAGGGACTTCTTCTTGCACTAAGTTCCAACCTCAAAGAATTCCTTGTCCACATCTGTAGGCAAAGGAAGAGTCATTATTTCAAGATTTAGTGCCATGTCCCGGGTCTGGGTCTGGCCCATGGACCTGCTCATCCATTTGTGGTCCGTGCGCTGGAAGCTGGTGTATAGCATCACAACCACCAGCCACCAAGTTAGGGTAGTTTGCACCAGTTTATGGGTAATTTCTCCACTATGCATGCGAGATGGGCTTTGCTGTAGAATATGAACTGCAAAGTTTTAACTGCTTTCAGCTAAATCTCACTGATCTCCACCTTGTGTTTGACAAGCCAAGAAACAACTGTAAAACAAGTCCTGGCTATTCAACATTACACTCATCAGTTCAGTTGGCCTTGTTTTTTTCTGTAGAGGACTGGCACATACATTTGCCCTTTCATGGGCAGTCCAACGTTCAGTTCTTAAGGTGCTTTGACGGTCAGCGTCAAGTAGTGATAGGAAATTTCACCTGTTGTGGGAGACAGTCTCCCTTAAGAACATTCTAACTGCAGTGGTTTTCACTGAACAGTGCAGGTAATTTCCCAATTTAAGCCGCTACGAGGAATTTATCCATATAATTTCCATAAATTCCTTCATTTTAATCTATATGATCATTATTTTGAGAGGGAGCTTTAATTATTTTATCATTTAATCTGTGCATCTATCGCTCACAAGTATTCAAACAACAGGGAGAGTTTGGGTTATTGGTATAATACTGCTTAAATAATAGGATGAGTAACCAATGGTTGTCCTGGTTGAGAAATATCACTGAAAGGATTTTTAAAAATGCTTTCACTCTGAAAAATATGACCATGTGTGCATATCGTAACATACAAGCACATGGACATTCATTCTGGAATATTATCATTATCATTCATTTGTACTCATTGACTGTTGAAATCAAGGTTGACCTGCTTACAAATAAACCATACTGTGTATTAAAAAAAACTTTTTAAAATGTCTTGGAATCTGAACATGGTTAAATTGTTATTTATATATATATATATATATATATTATTTAGAACTATATGAATACAGGATGGTGTACCATTCATGCACAACAAATAGAAATTCTGTCTTACACAGATAAATATACACTAAAATGCAAACGAAGAGTCTCAAACAGTGGAAACTTGTATTTTATTTTTTACAGTTTCAGAGAGGAAGCAGCCAGTTTAGTCTGCACTGACAAAATGCATCAATCCACAATGAGAACAGATAAAACCATGATTAAAGGATACAGAGTTCCTGCAACTTACACCAAAAAAAGACATGTACAGTACCAGCAAATTCACAGCTACTTAGTCCACACCAAGTAATCTGGAGGCAGTCTGGCTCTTCCATTTAAATATTACACTTAATGTAACTGAAGAAGTCTGTGCATGTGTGGTGGTCCACGGGTTTCATAAAGAAGAAATGGATGCATCTCCAAAAGGGGGTCATAAAATTAAAAATGGGCTCAGAGTCAAAATAAGTCCATGGTTTGAGCTCTCAGTCATCCTCAGTAATGTGAAGGCGATGTCCCCTTCAGGTGATCCCAGTTGCTGTAAAGAGCATACAGGCCTGACATGGCTAAACCAACGAGACCTCCTCTGGCAGCTCCTTTGAGTCCAGCTGTACAAAATAAATGTAAATTTTTATCAATAAATACAATAAACAATGTTCATTAGATTAAATCAATGATGGCCATGATATTGTCCCTTTTCCTCACTTGTGGATTTAAAAAGCATCCCTGTTAACGTTCCGGCTGCCACTGTGTTGAGGTCATCCTCTGCGCCCCTAGCCTTCTCAATGGCCACACCGAAAACACTATACAAAAGAGCTGTTGAGAAAGAGAAACCAACATTTTATTATGAACAAGTTTCTACAATTAATTATGCAACAGATGTGATATTCTTTTACACAAGCCGTTTGAATTCAATGCATTTCTTACCCACAGATCCTAGTGTGTTGGCCCATGATGCGCCTTGTCGTGTGACCATGTTCAAAATTCTGAACATATCAAAGGTCAGTGTTAAAGTAGAATTATGGGTAATAAACAATGGATAAACAGTTTCAGTGAATGTTAAAACAAATATAACTTAACTTAGCGATACACCAAAATTTTCTTTTTATGGAAACACCAAAACTGAAATTCAATTTCTAATGTAACCAAAAACAAAACAACAAAAAAAGATTGAGCAATTAAATAAAAAAAAATTCAAAAGAGTTGTCGCCTCTTTAGGCCAACAAATCATACTTATTGATACTCCAGCATCATTTCTGGTCAAAGTGAAGTTTATCTGTAGTAGCCTATCCACAATGTGTGTGAAAAGTAGATGCTGACAGAGTCAAAACATATCACTGCAGAAGCGCTACCTAATGAAATGTGTCAATGATTTCGGACGAATATTTTCCGTTTCTGAAATTTCGGAAAAATTGGATAAAATGCATAAAAACGCATTGCAGCAAATTTGTCACAAGCTGCATCACATCAACATAATATTAGTGGCTGAAATTCAAAAAGATCCTTTATGAATTATCTACACAGTAACTTAAATCATTTCTAATCAACGTTTACAAAGGAACAGATACTTACTGGACATTTCTGGGTTTTGACCATGGCATATCTCTAGTTTCTGTCAGGCCCATACGGAGACCATTAAGTGTCCCAAAAGCAGCGCCTTCAAAGAAATAAACAACCGTTAAAATGGGCGATGATTAAAGACAAAGGACTGATCAAAGCTTGCAAAGTGACAGGCCTCACCTGTTATACAGCATCCCCCGATGGTGAAGAAGGCCAGCTCAAAGCGACCACGGGTTTTATTTGCCCCAGTTGGCAAGATAAACTCATCAGTGTCCTAAGAAAGCAAGACAAGCATCATAATAATGTCTTAAATGTAAGTTAATTTTGTATTACAGTAATCTTGTATAAACAAGAGAACACAATATGTGACCCTGGACCACAAAACCAGTCATAAGGGGTAAATGTTTTTGGTAACACTTTACTTAAAGGGGTGTGCATAAGACTGACATGACACCTTCATTATCATGACATGACACATGTCTTGAATATGAAGGAGGTTTTATGCATGTTTATGACAACTGTCATTAAGTGTCATTCGCTCAGTTATGACATTTTTAATGTAAATATGACATTATTTGACCTAACCCTAACCCAACCCTACCCCTACCCCTAACCATAGCCCATAACAAAAGACATCTCAAACAATGTCATATTTGCATTAAAAATTACATAACGGAGCGAATGACACTTAATGACAGTTGTCATAAACATGCATAAAAAAACCTTCATATTCATGACATGTGTCATGTCATGATTATGAAGGTGTCAGTCTTATGCACACCCCTTCAAGTAAAGTGTAACCATGTTTTTGAAATTGAGATTTATACATCATTGAAAGCTGAATAATTAAGCTTCCCGCTGTAATTTCCTACTGTAAATATATCAAAACTTAATTTTTGATTAGTAATACGCATTGCTAAGGACTTAATTTGGACAACTTTAAAGGCGATTTTCTCAATATATATATATATATATATTTTTTTTTTTTTTGCACCCTCAGATTCCAGATTTTCAAATAGTTGTATCTCAGCCAAATATTGTCCTATCCTAACAAACCATACATCAATGGAAAGCTTATTTATATGTATGTATATACGTATACATCTCAATTAAAAAAAAAATGTACCCTTACGACTAGCTTTGTGGTCCAGGGTCACATATAATCACACTAGTACACTTTAAACCATGGGTCAACTAATAAATGCAGATTTAAATCAAAAGTTGAAATTATATTCTCAGGAAAACAAGGATATTTTTCATAAATGTCAGGTATTGTAAAAATGTGCAATTAATTAATTACAGTTGGTGGCCAAAACAATGTACTGATCTTTTTGTATGTTACCACTGCCTTTTGTTTTAAGTTTGCCATTTAGTTTTGACCATTAATTAGCTTACAATAAGTTCATATTGCTGTCTCTTTCTTTTCCACCCCTTGAGGTGGAGCAATAACGTTTGCCATTGTTGTCATTCTGTGAGCTCAGACTTCCTGGCATCCACACTAAATTACCCAGGGCTTTCTGTGGGAGCAGAAATGGCTCACTGTTCCCCAACAAAAAGACCATTCACAGTCAGTGGAAGGCCTCCTATAGACAGCCCACAGTGTTGAAGAGAACCAGAGGCAGTCGAACAGAGATAGGCACCGCGAGGAACATGGCCGCACTGGGAAATGGCTGTGATGTCATAATGGATTCATCTCAAAGAATATCTTTTAATCACGCTTTGTTGTCGGCCTTATATTCAGAGTTTTTGTGGCAAAACTCAAAAACAACAACATTGAGTACACACAAAAAACTCCACAAGGACCCCAAAGGGGGTGTGTTACCATGGAGATATGAAAGCTGTGCAGAGCCTCTGTTCCTTAAACTAGTTTAGAGGAGATGAGAGGGAAGGACAAGAGTGGGTCCTCTGAAACCTTTCAGATGAAGACTTTAAAGCCATCATGCTTGTAAACAACAAGCATAGCACATATTGTTGCTTGCTGTTCGAAATTCAAACAAATCTTACATATTTGTGTATGTGTGTACTAATCATAGGTTACAGTTTTTTTATGTTTTTGAAAGAAGTCTTACATGCTCATCAAATCGTTTATTTTATCAATAACAGTAAAGTAGTAATATTGTGAAATATAATATTTTTGGAAACCGTGATACCTACATTTTTCAGGAATCTGAATGGATGAATGCATTTATTTAAAATAGAATATTTTAAAAAGACATTAAAAAATTGTATTCAGCAAGGACACAAAAATACTAAGTAGTAAAAACAGTTTTCAACATTAATAATAATGTTTATTGAGCACTAAATCAGTATGTTTGAGAATGATTTCTGAAGGACTGGACTAATGGAGACTGGAGTAATGTCTGATGAAAATTCAGATTTGCCATCACAGGAATAAACTACATTTATATATATTGTGAAATATTATTATATATGTGTGTGTGTGTGTGTGTGTGTGTGTGTGTGTGTGTGTGTGTGTGTGTGTGTGTATATATTCACATTTTTTTATTGCAATATTTCACAATGTAACAAAACTGTTTTTGCTGCATTTTGATCAAATAAATGCAGCTTTGGTGAGAATAAGAAACTTCTTTCAAAAACAATAAAAATAACATTAGTAAACACATAGTAACTATAAAATATATTTTATTAACAGAAACTGTGAGTGTCGATATAAGTAAATTAATCTATTCTTTTTTATTTCAGAAGTGTCAAGAAGATGACTTTACAGGGATAGTTCACACAAAAATTAACATTTCGTCATCCTTTACTCACCCTCAAGTCATTCTAAACCTGTATGAGTTTCTTTCTTATGTTGAACATTAATGAAGATATTTTGAAGAATGCTGGTAATCAAATAGTTGATGGTCCCCATTGACTTCCAAATATTTAATGTACCAACAACTGTTTGGTTCTTTAATATTCCTCAAAATATCTTCTTTTGTGTTCAGGTTTGGAACGACATGAGGGTGAGTAAATGATGACAAAATGTTCATTTTGGGGTGAACTATTCCTTTAAAGCCATCACATTTCTCACAAGCATGTCATATACTGTTGCTGTTTGAGATTCATACAACAGATATAAAAATAAAATCACCTATTATTGGATGGATCAATGGCTTATGACCTAGTGGCATTTTGAAGCGAGGTCCTCGGCACTTAATCCTGAATTTATTTAGGGCACAAACAGTACTAAACAGTGTTCTAATTTGTTATGCTTTCATGTTACGGTCAAATGTAACTTGACAGACTCCTGGAAGATTCACTTGTTAAACAAGAGTTAAACAGAATCACCTGTTTTAAAGTCTCTGGAAACTCGGATTCCACACAAACTCAACAGTTCCCCCTTTAATGTGGATTTGTTTCGTTAAAGCCCAGCTGACACTCGCAACAGATTTAAGTAAGCCTTATAATATCCCAGATACAAAGTCAAATCCAAGAGCCATAGTTGTCCCTTGGCTTAGCTCTTGTCATTTCAAGCTCCCCGTTATTCTCTGGCAGTGCTTTAGGACTTTGGCTTGGCTGTGAATGTTCTCCACTGTGGCCTGCCAAGTTCTGCTGTCCTCTCCCACCAGTCTGGGCAGCATCCAGCCTTGTGGAGCCAGAGTGGGGGGCCAGGACTGAGCCAGACCCCAGGCCCCATCCTCTGAGAGCAGACAGGAAGGGCGGGGGGACCCCACAGAACGAAAGGAAGAGGAATGGGGACACCTACCTATGGTAGACAGAGAAGCATCCTACAAGTTCAAACACACCATGTGTGTGTCTGAAGTACAAGTAAACTCGGATCCTGTACATCTTTACTTGTAACCGAAGCGAAACAGCGCCCTGCTGTGCGACTCCGCTGTGGCGTAACATCTGTTGTGTCATCCTGTTTAATTTGTACGAAAGGAAGAGGAATGGGGACACCTACCTATGGTAGACAGAGAAGCATCCTACAAGTTCAAACACACCATGTGTGTGTCTGAAGTACAAGTAAACTCGGATCCTGTACATCTTTACTTGGAAAACCTATTGGTTGTAACCGAAGCGAAACAGCGCCCTGCTGTGCGACTCCGCTGTGGCGTAACATCTGTTGTGTCATCCTGTTTAATTTGTTCCGTCCTTTATATGCACCCCACCATCACCAACTCTGATATTTTAAAATATTTTTTTATTAAAATCTAGTACAGTGTCTGACTACTTAAAAGTTTCCTGTAAAGAAAGGCGGAGTATTTCAGAGAAGGTTTCTGGTTGAAGCTAGCAAAATGTTGGCTAATATCACACCATCTTTAACAAAAAGCCTTACCGTTTTTCCTAAAGCTGCCATATTGAGTAGCATTGCAATTTTTTCTCAATTCCTTTTTCTACAAGGAGTCTGTCGCCTCTTCCTCAAACTCTCTGGGTTTAGCTTGCCATTGGCATCCAATAAGATCAGTAGATTGACAAGGAAGGAAGGAAGGAAGGAGGGAAGCAAAGGGTTCTATTTTCGTTTGGGAAGTTGGGACAGAGAGTTCTGAGTTTGTTGGGTATAAAGGTTGTAAAGGTCATTGCAGCCTCTGAGGGGGAAGTCAGAGTGCGAGTCAACGGAGGATACTGTGTGTCTCTCTCTCTCTTTACAGGGACTTACCCATTTCATCTTTCCTCTTTGGCCCTCAGCTAAAACTGTTATCCATTCCACTCATTAAACTTGCTGCTGCATTACACTCCATTACATTGGATAGTGCCTGTATGTGCATATGTTTTTGATAAGGTAAGCAGCACTGTAGAGTTGAGGAGGTAGGCGGGGGCATCAGAAAATGAACAAGACAGGAAATTGAGGTTTTAATTGCAGGTTAGAGATAGAGAGAGGACAGAAAGAAGGAATGATTACCTAACATAGCAGCTAGTAATTTGGGACAGGCAGGAACCATTTAACACAAAACGCGTGGTGTTTAATGAACAGTTTGCCTTCTGTGGGAGCGAATTAATCACACTTTCTCCTTTTCCATCCATTTCACTTTCTCCCTCGCAGTGCCTGTCCATTTTTTTCATTTTTGTATGTGTATGTGTGTGTGTGTGTGTGTGTGTGTTATAAAGCTGGGAGTACACCCTTAAATTAAAGTCCTGCCATTAGGACTAGGCTACTCACCTTAATGTCGTCCCAAAACGATGCTCCTGTTTCTGGTCACATTTTACAGTGACCATGCACATTTTTAAGCTCCAAAAATGAAAAATGGTTATATTGTGGTTTGTAGCCTACATCAAGTCTTCTTTAGCTGTGATCGCTTTTGTTTGATGAACAGACTAACATGCTATTTTTTTCTCCAGTGGGATTTGTGTAGTCATATTAGTGAAATTTCATGTACAAAAAAAGGTCCATTGTCTTTTGTCAATGGTGTAGCATGCATGTATGAAGCACCGTTCACAGAAGTCACTTTTCTCCGAGTGGTTAAATTTGAGCGAAATCGGCATAGGGGAACTTTTTGTCCTTTACGTGAAAAAAAAAATACTTCTTTATGAGCTGTGCTTTATACATCGCTACATACTGTTCACTAAATTTCACTAACCTGTCACTGAGATAAATCCGAGAATCAGTATGTATGAATGTAAAGTCTATTTATTCATTTTTGGAGTTCAATAGCCATGGAACAACATTAAGAGCATATTAATTTAGAATAAAATGTGGTTGAATTCATAATATTATATTGTTCATTTTGCATGAACTATTTCTATTCCAACACTTTGTTGTCACAGACTGTGACGGTCACAGATTCAGTTCTGTTGCTGTTCTTTTGGATATGACCAGATTTGTTTAATGCAGGCTATGGTTGGCGACTTTGCTATAAACTGAAAAGGAAACAAAAGCTAGTAACTAGGACTCTTGGGTGCAGTGATGAGGTCTTATGGGAACTAAAAGAGTCTGATTAGCTTTATCAGCTAAACACAGACCATTACACACAACAGCAACTCATTAAAACAAATACTTCTTTATGAGCTGTGCTTTATACATCGCTACATACTGTTCACTAAATTTCACTAACCTGTCACTGAGATAAATCCGAGAATCAGTATGTATGAATGTAAAGTCTATTTATTCATTTTTGGAGTTCAATAGCCATGGAACAACATTAAGAGCATATTAATTTAGAATAAAATGTGGTTGAATTCATAATATTATATTGTTCATTTTGCATGAACTATTTCTATTCCAACACTTTGTTGTCACAGACTGTGACGGTCACAGATTCAGTTCTGTTGCTGTTCTTTTGGATATGACCAGATTTGTTTAATGCAGGCTATGGTTGGCGACTTTGCTATAAACTGAAAAGGAAACAAAAGCTAGTAACTAGGACTCTTGGGTGCAGTGATGAGGTCTTATGGGAACTAAAAGAGTCTGATTAGCTTTATCAGCTAAACACAGACCATTACACACAACAGCAACTCATTAAAACAATGTGCGAACAGTTAGAAAACGGAAAAACAGTTTTTAGAAGGTTATTCAGTTATCGGTTTCCTTCGCGACTCCAGTTCCTCTCAACACTGAACCACTGACAAACAGAAATTGCCATCTTGACCTCTGTGATTTCTCTGAGGATATTCAATGCTAAAATGAGGAAGTGATTTGAACCTTACATTTTAAAAGCTTGATGTTTGTTACTATAGTTAGGCAGTGCTGATGTGCATAGCTGAAAAATATTCCAGTTAGTGGGCGTTACTGGATTGACCTCCAGTTATTTTACAAAAGACAATGTTTGCTTCTTTAGTTTTCTTGCACATATCAGAGAATCTGTGAAGTTTCGCTTACTTTGTTTTCCATGAACTCTTTGAAAGACAATTACCGGTGTAATCTGCAGTTACTCTTTTCTTGTTGACTTTCCAAAACAGCTCAACAGATGGTTATACGATACAAAAACAAGCACACACAATGGAAAATGTTGGGAAAGAAAGAATAATAAGACTGTGTGAAATAGAGGTGGGTGTTCGTCCAACTCAAACAACCGTACCATTTATATAGATTTTACTTCTCCTTCAGCTTTTTTCCCCACCCCATAATCGTCTTGTCACTTTGGTGTTAAATGCAGCTTTGTTCAGTATGATCAATTAAACAGTACTGAGAAGTTTGGACCCAGATCTTCTCCATTATCTACAGCAGACCTGAATCAGATTAGTATGCAGTGTTCTGGCACATGTAAAAAGCACAAGAGAAAGAGTGACCAAGTTAGTTTCTTTTTTTTTTTAACTATGATTTTAATATTTCGCTATTGCTTCTCAGTACAGAGTTTAGTCCAGCATATTTCAGTCAGTAAAACACTCTTTTGCTTAATTTCACACAAATCCTGTTCTATAGATTCAAAGCAGACAAAAGAAATTGTTGACAGGGTTAATGAACAGAAATCAATCATCAAATGTTAGTACAATCGGCAAGAAACCATTAATCAAATTATATAACTAGAAATGGTTAATAGTTTACAATTTACATAAGAAAGGCACAGAGGCAAAGCAACAATGACAAACCAAACACCCCAGCAAATAATGACCACTTTAAACCTTGCTCAGAGTAAGGCTGGAACCAAATATTGTTCATCAAATAAGTTTTTCCATTTTCAATCAACTATAGAATTATATCATCATGGGAAAAATATGTCTCTCATTTCATTTTTTTGTGTGTAATAAGGCATACTGTTCATATCTGGAAATGTGATTTAATGTTATTTCTCACATACAAAATATGATAGAAAAACACATTATAAAATGTTACAATGGTTATAAATAGGACTGTATATTTTCCAATGCAGGAAGCTGCTTGGGATTGCGAGAAGAAAAAAAAAGACAACAAAAATCAGCTAAAATGGAGAATTGCAGTTCATTGGCATATACAATACATAAACAGTCACTCACACAATCACCCATAAACACATGCTCACACACATAATGACAGTCTATAGTAATACTGCATGGAAAGCAAACACTAAACCAAAAAAACCAAACACACATTAACAAACAACTCCAGTTTCTAGTCGATCTGACCGGATGAGATCCTTGTAAAAACAATTTCCATCCGTTAAATGTATTTGCAGAATTTTTACTTTAGCAATTTCCAGGTTAATAAAAAAAATTACATGCAACTGCATCACAACCTCAAACATCTAAAAGGCATTGCATTTGCTCTGCATAAATACAACCAATATTATTAGAAAAGGAGATGTATCTTCTCAAAATCCAGTTCTGATAACCAAATAACAAAATGTAATTATCATTTGTTAATACGCTTTTAGTTTTGTTGTTCTTCAGCACTGAAATGGTCTGACATTTTAACTGGAAGACCAACTGAAGAAAATGTATTCAGTCATTTTAATAAAACTGAAAATCATTTGCATAGGAAGGTATGGAGAAACGTGACACGTCTGCATACAAATATGCTCCTCTAGTACACTTCAATTCTTCAAAAGGAATAAAATTAGCTCTATACCAATTAACCCCAAACCTTTATAATATTCATCCAGATGAATGGACTAAATTCTTCTTGAGATACAAGCAGACTAAAAATATGGAAATAATGACCAGTAACTGTTGGGGGCTTCATTGCTGTGTAACAGATTTAGTGATGGATCTACAAACATATTAGAGAGCTTATACATATACATTATCAACTACAAACAGATTATGAGCACAAAGGGGCTCAATTACCAGCTAATGTAGTGTGACACGGTAAAACTCAGTCATTGTTTGTAAATAAAAATTAGAAAATGCACATAATAAAATTTAGTTTTTGAGTAACGCTTGTGACGTTGTTCTGTACACCTCGTTTTCACGAATAGAGGGGAATTGAACAGAAATACCTGATATGTTGGCATATAACACATTGATGGACATTCATACTTATTCATATTTGATGATATTGTGTAAAATAAGGCACTTTTTTTATTTAAAAAAAGACACTGTTTTGGTCTCTAAAATTTTGTCATTTGTTCATCACATTTTGACAATACTGCTTTGTTTTTTAATACAAAAAGGATCACCTTTGAAAAATATATATTCATATCCTTTGCAGCACCCTCATATCAAAAAAGGTATTAATTGACGATCAGTGTTTGTATACTTGCTCATGTGTCTGGATGCTTTTCGACAGCTCTCTGAAGAAAACGCTGGTAGGCAAGCATGGCTTTTACATCCCTCATGGACATTTGGACCTATAAATCAGTTTTAAAAGAAACTACTGGGCTTTTTCAAACTCTTCAGGATGGTATGAGAACTGCAGTGCACAAACTTAAGAGAGTTATATAGAATATTATGCTTAATTATTAAGAAACCAATAAAGATTTGTGTTCATTTAGTGTGTGCATGTGAAAGGCTAACAGTAGGATGTTAGATGTCGCCCAGACAGCGTTATTGCTTTATGACACTTCAGTGCAGGCTGGGAAACCCAGGTCACCTGACCAAGGAAGTCCTCAGTTTGAGAAGGGGAGCGATTCTGTTCTGCGGGTGGTGGCGTGGGGCCATCACGGCTTCTCGGCTGTGTTAAGCGAATTAAAGCTGCTTCTGCGCTCACCAGCAGGCCGCCAAAACATAGAAGCGAAGGACGAGAGCCAGAGAACTGGTCAGCAGGCAGGCATTTAAAAAAAGACACTGTTTTGGTCTCTAAAATTTTGTCGTTTGTTCATCACATTTTGACAATACTGCTTTGTTTTTTAATACAAAAAGGATCACCTTTGAAAAATATATATTAATTTCCTGTGCAGCACCCTCGTATCAAAAAGATATCAATTGATGTTCAGTGTTTATACACTTGCTCATGTGGATGCTTTTCGACAGCTCTCTGAAGAAAACGCTGGTAGGCAAGCATGGCTTTTACATCCCTCATGGACATTTGGACCTATAAATCAGTTTTAAAAGAAACTACTGGGCTTTTTCAAACTCTTCAGGATGGTATGAGAACTGCAGTGCACAAACTTAAGAGAGTTATATAGAATATTATGCTTAATTATTAAGAAACCAATAAAGATTTGTGTTCATTTAGTGTGTGCATGTGAAAGGCTAACAGTAGGATGTTAGATGTCGCCCAGACAGCGTTATTGCTTTATGACACTTCAGTGCAGGCTGGGAAACCCAGGTCACCTGACCAAGGAAGTCCTCAGTTTGAGAAGGGGAGCGATTCTGTTCTGCGGGTGGTGGCGTGGGGCCATCACGGCTTCTCGGCTGTGTTAAGCGAATTAAAGCTGCTTCTGCGCTCACCAGCAGGCCGCCAAAACATAGAAGCGAAGGACGAGAGCCAGAGAACTGGTCAGCAGGCAGGCAATGGTCAGGTCATCATTGGGTGAAGAGTTCAGAGGGTCATTGGTTAGTTGCCGGTGGCGGCTGGGTTGTTAGAGAAAAAAAACAAAAAATGGACAGACAGAGGGGAAACGAAAAAAATAAAAGGACATAAAGAGGACACAAAAGAAAAAAAAGATAGAGAAGGAGATTAGTTTCAGCTAGTGACGGTTGGATGACAATATGACATTACTAATTCCAGCTACTGTAAGAGAAAACTGCTCAACATCTACGTTAACACAGCAAAACCATGAAGGCCTCATGATTTCACTCCAGAACCCATCTCTCAGGTGAAAATGGTTAAAGAAGCAAAGAGGCAAATCAATTATAGAGTCATTACGAATTAAACTAACAGCACTTAATAGTTAGTAGCAGTCAGTAGAGTTTGGGTATTTGGAAAAACCGACAGCAAGATGTAAAAGGGCATCAATCCTGGATTAAAAGGTGCACATTTTTAGAGGAACGATCCTCTGACTGCTATTAAGCATTAGAGTGCTGCTTCAATACAAAGCTGCTAGTGATAATGATATGGATTCATGAGTAGTTACAGAGATGTGACGAGAGAAGTAAAATCAGAGAGTGACAGGCTAATCAAAAGATTTCTAGACAGTACAAAACGTTTGGTGGTTTTTTTAACTCAACTTTTATTGCCTTTAAAATTGGACTATTTACAAAAAATACAGAATGCTAATCCAACAGAATGATACTAAAGCATATCGGCTGAAATTTAGGGCTGCAACAACACAAGGAAACAATTAGAAAGACAAATCTACTTGTTTGGCAAACCTATAACTTATAAGACAGTGTAGCAAGACTGTCATAGGTACAACATCCTAAAAACAAAATGCACCCCTTATGGAAAAAAAATATAACATGGCATTGATCTCTAATGTTTACTAGTATAAATTCCCTATTCATTTACAAATACAATAGAATTTCATAAATGTTCTTGCTTTCTAGTTAAACATATTGCTTTCATAATCTCATCTTAAAAAGATTACACACGATAACTATGTTCTTTTCCATACATTTGACAAAAAAATTCAAAAGAAGCTTACTGCAAAACAACAAACAAACAAACCAAAAATGGAATATTTCTTCAGTTCATCTGTTGTTCTTGTGCTAACAGGCGGCCACAGTGTGTGACCGTCCTGCTTTGATAAACATCCTAACATCTCATGAGGTTTTGCCGTTTCGTTTTTTTCTTGTTTCACTTTGCTCTGTCTGAGTATCGCAGACTAGGAGCCGGTGATTTAAAATCTTCAGTGCAAAATACTTGTGCCATATTTTTATGATGAGGAATTTCTTGAATAGGGAGTTTAAGGGATCATAAGCACTCTGAAACACCATTATAATGCTCTGATTATGCACCGAGCATAAGAAACAATTTTTAAAGGGCAGTGCAGATGATGACTTACACTCTCAAACAAGTCCTAACCTTCATAACAGTCTAGCCTATCTTGTGTGACACTGTCCAAGCCGGGTGCTTGGAATATTTCATCCAATGCCTTTCATTCAAGGGTATTTTCCCTGCTCAGGAATTGAGCTTTAACAAATTCTCAGAGATCTTTCTGAGGCTGTGGGCAGTAAGCCACACAAGATAGATTGGACTTTTTGTGCAATTTCACAATTGTTATGCATTAAACTGGTCAGTTGTATTGGTCTATTAAATTATGACATGTTAAAGTCTTATGGGTGTGAAATTCACTTATATTGATCAGTAGATTCTCACATTTACAGTTTTTTCAGGAGTCATAGTTATTATATGTACAGTTTTGGCACATCCATGTATTTGTAATACGAGTTTAAATCAGTTTCATTACAGCGGTCTTTAGAAGCTGGTGCTGTAATTTCCTTAGATCCAGTTTATTTCCATTTAAGGCATTTGAAAGATTTTGACATGAATATGCTCAATGACCCTGGCCAAAAATGATTACTTTTAACCTAAACGACAACTGATCTACACATAAAAACTGCAGTAAAAAGGTATAAATAAAATATGTAAAATGAGAAAAGATTCCAAACAGTACAAGCACTCAAGATTATGAACAAAAAATCTGAATTTGCAGATGTCAAAAATACTGGGTTAAATACAACCCAGCGCTGGGTAAAATATGGACAAACACAACGATTGGGTTGTTTTGACCCAGCTGTTGGGTTAATGCCCAGAAGGTTGGGTTAAACATTTAACCCAACTGTTGGCTGGAAACAACCCAATCGCTGGGTTTGTCCATATTTTACCCAGCGCTGGGTTGTATTTAACCCAGCATTTTTTAGAGTGTATCTTCTGTAATGAGATACAGCTTATAACAGGCCTGAAATAACATACAGTATTGAATTTTCTCAATTCATATGACTAAGTATACATCTGTATCATAAATTGGGGAAAACCAGCATTGCACCATCTTCTAAACTTTACGTATGCTAATCTGGCCAGGCTGAACAATAAATAAGATTATTTGTTTTATTATATCAGATGAGACTTTAAAAATATATATATAGTAAAACAGAGTTCCATTATTCATAAAGTAAAAACTCAAAACTTTCTTTGAAAGCTGCCGAAACAATGTTTCAATGGATCAGAATGGGAGAGTAGATTTAAATGGGACACTAATGTACTTAAGCGACATAAAATTATCTGAAAATACACTAAAACTGAGAAAGGATATCAAAGGAATGACAAATGAAGGAATAAACAGAAGCAAACAAACAGGTGAGCTCCATTACCCTTCATTGACTATGAGCCTGAAGGCCATCACAACGTCATCAGTGTAATGGAGCACAGTGGACAGTCAATTTTGCTCCAAAGTGGTTCTAACACTATCACACTAGCTGTTTTTCATCTACATACATCCACTAAGCTTCAGGTCATGTTTGTCTCAATATACAACGCATGTAAGTGCTGAAGTTATCAGATCATACTAACAATCAGTTCCAAAACCTGGTGAGCTTCCTACAGAGGCAGTATTTTTAGGCACTTTCCAATGCGAAGGCTCGTTTTACCTCATTTTAGCCTAAGGTAGCATATATATGCATCCTTCACAGAAAAAGCTATTTCAAAATGCATTGTGGTGTTACATTCATGTCATTACTAACCAATACTGATAAAAACTAGTTGAGGTTTATTTAAAAAGTACACTTGCAACATGCTAACCTCAAACTTGATTTCAAGTCGAGTCTCCTGTGCGGAATGCCACTGATGTTATGTGTTGGTTATGAAATTGTACATTAACAAGGTTCCATGGCAGTTAGGATGCTGTCTTAGAAGGCAGCTCACTAGATTCTGGAACAGAGCTGAAATCTCAGAATTTAGAATGTTGTCATAAGTCATCACAGGATGTTGTAACCTCCTGCAAATCAGTTAGAATTTTCTTTTGTAACAGTATTCTATTTTTTTAACCTTTGCTTCAGTGACCCCAAGAACATGCTCTAAATATAATACAAGTATGCTGATGACACCACAGTTTCAATGCATTTCTAGGTTGGCAGGTTTAGTGAGTAAACGAACCCTGCACAGTATGACTGGCATGTACTATACCTGATAACAGCAACATTGAAATCTCAAATGATGCCTTTTGTTTGGCAGGTTAGAAGTGACTAAAAACATTTCCTCTGTTTGTATTGAGTGAGATGCAATGAAAAAAACTGTGTAATCAGCATACTGAAGAAGCACACACACACACACACACACACATATACACAGAGCACAGTTTGAACACTGGAGCTAAACTAACCTCGTTCTGCGGTCACTATCCTTTGGTAAGGATGGACGCGCATATCCTGCCTTCGTATTTTAGTAGTCACTGCACCTGCTCAGAGCGCAACATTGCCAACAAAACAAGAATGAACAGATTATTCATCAAAATACATTAAAACTACACTTCACACAACATTGTTTCACAAACAAGGCTTGTAAGACCAAATTGTAAGGCACAAGTGACCTTTTCTCCAGGACCCCTTTATAGTGAAATCACATCATATCTTGTTGCCCTTTATCAATTTCCCAGTAAATCTGTTGCATTTCCATAAAAACAAAATGGTGCTTTTTTTAACCCTCTTGACTAATTTATACAATGACTATAGAGCCCTTGTATTCTTCAACACACAATATGCTTCAGATAATATGACTTCAGTAAAGGCTATTTCATGGAGAAAGTTTTTCACAAGCATGTTATATTAGCAATAATACTGATCACTCTCTAAATATCCAAGATACAGTTGCAGGAATATAAGTAATACAAAAATTACAAGCTAAACAAATATAGATTACTTTTCAAACAAAGGAATGTAATAAGGCTTAATTGTCAGTATTTATCTGAAAATATAAATTTTTAATCTATGAATAAGTCAACAAAACAGTTAAGACCAGTGTAAACATGAGTAGTAATGATCTTTAGTCTTTTGTTTCTTAAAAAAATCAGTTTCTTCATTTGCTCTTTTGTCTTTTTTTTGTTCCAAGGCAGCTGTAAAGCAAAGCATTTTTAACACTCGTATGGGCTGAAGACTGTGTTAAACCCCTGAACATTACAAGCCTTTTGTCGGGAAAGCCATACCTACAAGGACAAGACAGAATGCTGGAGTTAGTCTCCTGGATCTCTGAGCAAAAGAGGACAAATCGTGTACTCTAAAACAAGGGTGGGCGGTAGAAAATATATAAAATAAAACATGCAATATAATAACAAATTAAATATATATTTTACAATATTATATATTATAAATATATA